TTCCGTTGGATTCCGTTCCCACGGCTCTCGACCACGCCCCCTCGCCACAGATTGCATTTAGTTTATGCTAATTTTTACACTTTAATGACACTCAGAGGAAACAAACTGATACATTAATAGGGTCTTGTAAATGTATTTTACTTGCATTGCCAGGTTATTGGTTTGCATGTAAAGGTTACTTCAATAGGCTGATTTCTGGGAGTTATCAGAGTATTGGCGCAGATGTAAACATGCTCATTGATTGAATGCTTTTACCTTCAGAATTTGGTCTGCTGTCAGTTGGAGCGGAGTCGGGCTCCTTAGAGCTCTTGTCCTGGGCATTCACTTCATCTAGACATTAAGAAAACAAGATACAACAAGGAAACACGAGGAAAGAAGTCAGAGAGAAGTGAAAGCATGTCTCAAGATCACAGCTGAGCAGATGAATTAAAAGTTAGAAGCCACTGGGTAACATCTCATTGGCTACTGCACTTCTCTTAGTTGAAATAAATGTGGCGGATGCTAAAGGCGATGCCTAAGGCAACGGAGGCTTCAGCGAAGAGCAAGAGGACGAGGAGATACACCTGTGCATCATCTAAAAACACATCCAAACGCACCCTTCTGTCTTCTGGATGAATAATTAAGCACACATTTGGGTTTACTTGAGCAAATGCAACATTTACGATCCTGTTTCTTTACAGTATGTGTCTCTCAGCTGTTCGAAAAGTGCCAAAAAGGTCCACAGCCTGAAATTATAATGTAAAAATATCTCCACAGGAGCTTTTTCTTTCTTCTGAGTGAATATTAAAGCATGCATTTGAATCAGAGTCATGACCTATAGTCGCTGATGGATGTGTTCATACATTATTGTGTGATGCGAGTTCAGATTGCGTTCATGTATTTTATATTCTCTCAACTTTTATTATATAACGGTCAAAGAGATTTTACATCGAAAAACATTTACAAATGTGATTTTATAAAAACTGAATTAAAGTAAACATAAGTAAAGTGGCTGCCTCAATGTTTCGAAAATTTTTAAAATAAAATGTTATTATGGATGAAATAATAACAGATACAATATTGATGGCAATTTAGCATAGGCTAATCTATATATAATAAAATAATTTAATAAACATTACATTTTTAATACTATTAAAAAATATAAATGTAATGCTATATAAACTAAATTAAATAATAGTAAATGTAAGTAAAGCATCTGCTTCAATGTTTTAAAAAGAATTGGAAATAAAATATCAATATGGATGAAATAATAACAGGTACACAATATTGATGGAATTTTAACATATGCTGAACTGCATTTATTAAAATAATTAAATAAATATGATCAATTTAAAATACAATTAAGATTTACAGTACAAATGTGACTTTATATAAACTGAATTAAATGATAGTAAATATAAGTAAAGTGTCTGCTTCAATGTTTCAAATAAATTTATTGAAAATAAAATGTCAATATGGATGAAATAATAAGATATACAGTATTAATAGAAATTTAACATATGCTTATATGTATTTATTAAAATAATTACATTTTATTAATTTAAAATACAATGTCTGCTTTAATGTTTCAAATACATTTTCTAAAAATAAAATCTCAATATGGATGAAATATAAACAGATATATAATATTAATGACAATCTAACATAAGTTGATCTGTATTTATAAAAAATAATTAAATAAATATTCTAAATTTAAATTACTATTAGGATTTAGAGTAACACTTTATTTTGATGGTTCATTTGAGTATTAGAGACTGTCTGCTTAATATTTGTTGATACAGCTCCTTCAACAGACATTTAACAAACAATAAGAAACTTTGCAAGGGCATGTCAACTTACACTAACCCAAACCCCAACTTAACAGTCTACTTATAATCTAGTGAGAACGTAGATGCAATGTAACTTAAATTCAACAACCGGACCATCAAAATGAACCCTGACCAACTTAAGTGCTTTAATGTTTCAAATAAATGTATTGAAAATAAAATGTCAATATGGATGAAATAATTACAGATACACAATATTAATGACAATTTAACATATACAGATCTGTATTAATGTATACAATTAAATAAACATTATACACTTAAAATACTATTTACATTTACAGTACAATTCTGATTTTATAAAAACTAAATTGAATTATAGTAAATGTAAGTAAACTGTCTGCTTTAATGTTTCAAATACATTTATTAATATCAATATGGATGAAATAATAACAGAAATACAGTATTAATGGAAATGTAACATATGATTATCTGCATTTATTAAAATAATTAAATAAATACCATTAATTTAAATCATGACCAAAAATTAAATCTGCATAAACTTTAAGGCCTGAATCTCGAATCTTGTAACATTTCTAATCCTTTTTCCTTCTCATATTTCCTCTCTGAAATTCACACAAAAAAAGAAGATAAGAAATATTACAAATCTTTGTTTTTACCTTTAGTGCTGCTGCTGGTGTTCTCCTTGGTTGCGGTGACATTTTTATCAGCTTCTAAATAAACAAACAAACAAAAAACAACTACATACATTAAAAATAATAATGTATTAAGTTCCATGTCTTTTTTTTCTTTTGATTTTATTGCATTTATATGAGCAGCACAGGCTGGATTCCTCATTATCCTTTCCAGGAAGAGCAGACACATTCTTTCATCCTCCAAAACACGATTTATTATTTTATTTAGATAAGAAAGATTCTTTAAAAATTCACATTTCACATTCACGGGTCAAAGATGAGACGTTCACTTTAAGAGTCAGAAAGTCAAATTAAATTTACAAAAGAAATCTTATATACATAGAAAGCATATTAAATTCAGATAGCATGTCAAAAAGTTTCAAATATCTTTTGTGGAAATGAAATCAAAATATGAGTGAAATAATGTTACATTGTCAATCAGTCAAACTTTATATAGATATGTCATATACAGATATAAACATATTATATTATATTATATTATATTATATTATATTATATTATATTATATTATATTATATTATATTATATTATATGTAACTGTATTTATTGTCATTTCTTTTTTTAATTAAATTTTTTGTATTAATATTATATGGGTCTACTTAGGGTCTGAGAGCAATGCAGTTTCAATTCTTTGTGTGTCCTGTGCATGTGGTTGAATTGACAATAAAGCTAACTTTGACTTAGATATTAATGTAAAAATAAAAAAAATTCTCAATAAGTTCATATTATAGTATACTATATATAATTACAATATATATATATATATATATATATATATATATATATATATATATATATATATATATATATATATATATATATATAATACACATTATTGTAATTGAATTGATAAATAACTTTTGACTAACGGGCAAAATGGGTCACACTTTATTTTGATGTTCCGTTTGTTAAATTAACCAGGAAATTAGTTACAATTAGTTACATTGCATCTACATGCAATTGGGGTTAGGGTTAGTGTTAGTTGACATGTACTAGCAAAGTTTTTATGGTCGGTTAAATGTCTGTTGAAGGAGCATTATCAACAGATATTAAGCAGACAGTCTGCTAATACCCAAATGGACCATCAAAATACAGTGTTAAAATGTTATCTTTATATATATTATTTTAAAGGGATTGTTAAATCACTAATTCTGTTATCATTTTTCCCCATCCACTTATTTCAATTCTGCTTTGGATTTTGTTTCTTATGTTGAAAGGTGATATTTTGAAGAATGCTGAAAACTGGTAACCATTGACTTCCATAGTATTTTCCCCCCCAACTATAGTATAGTTTTCTTTCAATTTACAGCTGTCTTTAAAAATTCTTCCTTTGTTTTCAACTGAAAAGAGGTCTCTTGTTTTAAATATGAGGACAATGACATTTTACAGGATGTCTTTTTTTAAACAATAGTTAAAAATGCATGATAGTCACCACATATTAATCATTCATTCTTCTTTGGCTTAGTCCCTTTATTCTTCGGGGGTTGCCACAGCAGAATGGACCGCCAACTTATCCAGCATATGTTTTACACAGCGGATGCCATTCCAGCAGCAACCCAGCACTTGGAAACACCCATACACTCTCACATGCACACACAAACACTACAACCAATTTAGTTTTTCAATTAACCTATAGTGCATGTCTTTGGGCTGTAGGGGAAACTAGAGCACCCAGCTGGAAACCTGAATGGGGCAAGCATGCAAACTCCACAAAAAAATGCCAACTGACCCAGCAACCAACAAGTGAGGTGACAATGCTAACCACTGAGCCACCGTGTTGCCCTTATATCAGTCATACAAGGGAATAAAATGCAATTGCTGTATCAATTTTAAGCACTCACAAGTCACTATTTTGGGCTTACACCTCCAGTCTGTATCATTAACCATTACACCACAACACCCCCAAGACATCAACTTCAATAAGAGATTACACCACATCTTTGAATTCTTCACTATGAGACCCATGTATAATATTTAAACATGAAAAAATATGGCCTCTCGCCTTCAAGAGGAACAAAACAAATGAAAGGGGAAGCATAGAAAATTAATTAGAAAGCGCCTTGAGTCTTTATCATTCTCAAACTAATTCAAACTCCCACAATAACATTCTCTACTCTAAACACCCCAGCATGGAAAAAAAATCTCCTTCCAGCGGCACATACACGCACGGCTGATGCAACTCACGAACGACAGCGTTTGTCTGCAAAAAAACCATATTTACCGTCATGAAGATCTCAAAAAATACTAACAAACATCAGCTGAACACAAGCGTACAATCACTGGCGCTTCAACATCACGGCCTCTATTTTCACTGTGATGCCACAAGCTTTCATGCTTATTTCATCACAAGCTTTTTCGGTCTGAGAGACAATTCTTGGGGTTACGGTGTTAACGTTTCAACAACTCCAGACGATGGCTTTAATGCAACCTTTCAGAAGAAAAGCTGCCCAGACGCTTCGCTCTCCCTTGTGGCCGCACTGATTTAACGGCGCAAAGCTGCAAGTGATGGATTTGTGTTTCGAACTTGGGGGAAAAAAGGCTCCTTTCATTGGTGAAATAGAGCAGCGTGGATGAGGCAAGGTGAGGGAGAGCACGAGCAAACGCCGCCACCATCATTTCATTTCATTCTTGTCTGGCGGCACCGTAGAGGGAGAAATTGAAACCGAGTGCGATACGATTCAGCAGCACTGTTTCCATTACCGCCCACTTCTGGAAGCAAGTCTCCTTGCCGTCCCTCGCTTGCCCATTTATACATATTCCTGCACAAATGGAGAGCTGGAGTAAACAAAGAGTCACAAACGTGTGCGCAGAGGCGGTGCAGAAATGTACGCTGCAAAATATTTGTCATGAGTATTTTGGTCTTGTTTTTAAGAAAAGAAAAAAATCTGAAAACAAAATATTTTTACCTGAGTGGAAACAGTATGCTGGTTTTTATATGTTTGATTGTTCATTTTTCGATTGTTCATTTATTTATTGTTCTTAACTCAATTCTGCTCCTGGAGATCTACCTTACTGCAAAGTTGATCAAACACACCTGTCTTTAATTAACAAGCGCTTCTTCGGGTTTAGTTTGGTTTAGGTTTAGTTGTGTTTGATCAGAGTTGGAGCTGAACTCTGCAGGAAGGTAGATCGCAGGAACAGAACTGGACACCCCTGCTGTAAATGGTGGGTTGTCTTATTGCAACACTTGGTTAAATATGGACAAGCAGATGGCTTAAAATTATAATAATTTAATAACAAAAAAAATATTGGGACTGTTAATATTTGATAATCCAGCATTTTTAGAGTGTACTCCTATGGCAAAAAGTTAATCATAATTTATATTTTCTAAAATATTTTCAAAATATTCAATTTATATCATCTTTAATTATATGTAACTTTTTAGAATGCAGACTGTATCAAAGTAAAATAAATAGAAATATGTTATGTTTATTCCTAAAATTTGATGTTTAAGATGAGTACAATGGGTGGAACGGTGGCTCAGTGGTTAGCACTGTTGCCTCACAAGGAAGAAAGTCGCTGGTTCAGTTGACATTTCTGTGTGGAGTTTGTGTGAGTTTCCTCTGGGTGCTTCGGAGTATGTGTGTGAATGAGTGTGTATGGAATACTGGAACAGCTGCAATACAGGGTTGCAGCTGGGAGTGCATGCACTGTGTAAAACATATGCTGAATAAGTTGGTGGTTCATTCTGCTGTGGCGACCCCATGTTGAAGGGACTAAGGCAAAGGAAAATTAATGAATGAATGAAGGTAAGAACAACTTAATTCAAGATACACTGGAATATGATTAGGGGCAATATATACTGTTTAGATTGTTTATTTATTTTCATTTTATGCATCTCCTCTTCATATTTAGGCATTCAACAAATACACTGATATTATGCATATTGTATATGCATTAGACATTTATTTATTCATTAATTTTCTTTTCAACTTAGTCCCTTTATTCATTATTAGTCCCTTTATTCATTGTTGCCACAGCAAAATCAACCACCAACTTATCCAGCATATATTTTACGCAGTGGATGCTCTTCCAGTCGCAACCCAGAACTGGGAAACCATTTATTATAAAAAGATGTAAATGATATCACATTATACAATTAAAGTTGTCATGAAATAAGCGTAATGCCTTTTATATAAAATATTCTCCAATAAAACAAAACATTTATTGTTGTTAATGTATTTTTTCCTCAAACAAAAGCATGTTCATTTCATATGGCCTTTATACTGTAACAATTTTTCTTTTAACAATTGTACTAATCTTAGTGTTTTGATATAAGGTGAATGTATAACAAACATATATAAATTATATCTTAAAGAGCACCTATTTTAACCCTTTCACAAGACATAAGATAAGACTTGGTGTCTCCAAAATATGTCTGTAAAGTTTCAGCTCAAAATATCCATCAGATAATTTATTATAGCCTCTAGAATCTGCCCATTATGGTGTCTGAGTATACTATAGCCGTTTTTGTAGCCTGTGGCTTTAAATGCAAATGAGCTGCTTCTTACCCCCCACCGCTCCCACATGCGTCTGCTTTTGATCATGTGCTACATCAAGTAAACAGCAAAGTGACAGAGACAGACTCCGAGGAAGCTGAAATACAGCTCAGTCAAAATTACCAAGTAATTTCATGTATTTGTGGTGGAGTTTATTCAAGCCTTTCTGACATGATGAGTCACACGCAAATGCCGTTTGCAGTACACTGACACTGTGCGACCGTGGTGATTATAGCGGTTAAGAATTAAGGGGTGATTTTACTGTCTTTATTACAAACAGGCTCAGTTTTAAAACATTTTAAACAGAGAGTTGGAACAGATATTTTAATCCCAGTTTATTTGCAATTTTTTTTTTTTTTTTGTGGACATGTGTATACATGAAGTTGATTTTCATCATAGATGCCTTTTAAGATTTAATTAATATAAATAGTTTTTTTCCTCCCAGTTTTGTTGTATGCATCATAAGGTTATTTATTCAATCAACAAGACAAAAACAAATCTGATAAAGCAAACGACTTG